GTAAATATTTTTTAAATTGTTTATTTGATTTCTGCTGAATAACAGGTGATAAGATCTATTAAGATGATTATTCTAAATGATTTTTTTGTATAAGTAAAGGGTCTATGATATTTAACATAATATATTATATATAGATAAGATAAATATCCTTTTGAAAAAAGTAACAAAAAGATCATCTTGCATGTTGGACGCAAGAGGTCCCTTTGGCTTGTAAGATGTGTCCTCGAAGAAGGATCTTTTTTATGTTCTATCCAGGGTTGCCGGATCAAAATCTTACAAATCGGAATTCATTTGCCTGAATTCGGAAAAAACATTTGGCTAATTCGGAAAAAAATTCGGAAAATGGCAGTTTTTAAGCTTTTTGATGCTTAAATTGATTTTTGTTTTGGTAAAAAAACGTTTTCTGAGTTTGGTTATCCTCTCTATAGATATGTTTCATCAATATTAAAACAAATATATTAAATATAGCACTGTTAGAAAACATCATGTTCAAGAAGAGACAGTTAATCCACGAATAAAAATCAAATTAAACTATCTATACATGTATGTATACCTACAATTCAAAACATTTGTTGAAAAAGAAACTAAAGTTCATTTATCAAGACGTTTTTTCGAACAAATTTTTCATTTGAAGCTATTTTTTTCAGTAGTTCCTCTTGAGTTAAAAGAAAGTCGTCAATATGTGCACAAGGAATATTGGAATCCTTTCTAATTTATAGCTCAGGTTCGATCTATTCGATATCCATTCAATTTCGATAATCAGATCATAAGTGACTCATGTGATTGAATATTGATTCAACAAAAGAACTGCTACATGGAATAGAAAACGCGTAGGCAACAATTAGTTTCAAACTCGGTGCTGTATTTGGTTTAATATTTAAAAAATATGAACGTAGTTGATCAGATTGAACACATTCATTTGCTCTTGCACCATTATTCAACAATTTTTCTAAGATATAACCATTAAAAAGTAAAAAAATATCTTCATTTTCATTTAGATTACGCTTTTTAGAGATACTATTCATTCATATGACTTATTCGAAAACTAAACATTGATTGAAGCTATTTTGACAAATCTTAGATGAGATTTGAAAAAATGCTTATCATATTGCATATTCTCTCCCTTCTCTTCTTATCTGTCAGAATAAAATCAATTATCTAATGATAACAGGAAAGTAAACATGGCGCAATATGAAATCTATCAAAATTTCAATCGAAAATTGTAATACAAAAAGAAAATTTTAAAAAATATTGCGATTCAGAAAAATCTCAAGAATTCGGATGAATTCGGAAAGTCGGAAAGCAGTCGGAAAAACTTAGAAAATTCGAAAATTTCCGAAAAATTCGGATGATCTGGCAACCCTGATTCTATCCTATGTCTTGCAGAATAGGATGAGTGAGTGAAAAGGTCCTATAGAATGTAAGACAGAATGAAGAAAACCATCCTGTGATATTTTCTAATCGGTATTCTGATTCGTAGATCAACTTCGTCTGTTTATCCGAGTTTTATTTGAAATGAATTAATCTATGATAAACCTTTCTGTGATGTTTTTTCTCCATCTGATTCACTAATAGCATCACCAAATAGATCAGTATCTTCTTAAAAATACAAAAAAAAATATTTAAAAAAAAATTAAAAAACTTATTTTTTATTGTCTTCATACCAAGCGAATTTATTTCTATTAATTTATTAACTTCTATTTGTTGATCATCATTACAAATAACTTCCCATTCAAGATCAATTACTTCATAATCAGCTCTTGAAAAATAATTCAATTATTTTTTTTTTTTGTTAAATAAAAACTCAAAGCAAGTTTCTTACCGAAATAAACGTCTTACTTGTTACATTTCATCTCGATCTTCAGTTTTTTCTCCATCTACTTTACGAAAATGTCGTTTTCGTACATTTTTTAATGGTGGTGTTACTCAAATTATAAAATAAATAAGAAAAAAAAATAGTTTTATTGATTTAGATAAAGGTATATATCTATGTGATCATTGAAATTTTATTTCTTTATCTTTTTCTTTCTTTTTTTTCTCATTTCCATCATCATCAGTTGAACTAAGATCATCCGGTAATCGACAAACAATAATCTAAAATTTGATATTAATTTTAAAAAAAATAAAAATGTTTGTTAACTTGATCAATATCATGTATTTTATATAAAGTTTTTCGATAAAATGTTTTATATGTTTCTGTTATAGATAGTAAGTCATAGAGGGTACCTTTAAAACGCGTATTATCAAATTTAATACGATCACGTCTTCGTTCAGAATTTAAATCAATAAAAAGACGTTGACAAATATTTTCATCACCATAATCAATCAACTGACGTAAACGTCTTGCATATTCACTCTTCAAAAAATCAAAAGAATTTTGAAAAAGATTTATTGAATTAAAAAGAAAAAACGATTACTGATGGCATTCGAAGAATAAATTGCTGTTTAAGTTCAAATTGTTCTTCATTTTTCTCCTTTTTTGTTGTTATTCTTGTTGATATTGTAGGTATGGTTGACATGTGAAACAATTTACAGTTTATTACTCTTTGTTTTATTTTTCTAAAGAATAGATTTATTAATAAGATAATAAAAGAAAAAAAGATAATTTGTGCCATCGTTTAGCCCTGATTATACTAGTAAAAGAGACTTTTATTAAATGTAATGTAAATGTAAAAGATTGATAATCGAGACAAAAGCATTAATTTTTTAGATTCTATTTTAAGATAAAGATCTATTTTTATTTGTTTATGAAATTCTTCGAAATCAATTGGTTGATAACAAAGTATA